TATATATATATATATAAAGTGTATAGTTGTGTGATTGTGTACAGTGTTGGACATTGAGGTTTTAGCCTAGGGTGGATGGAGTACAGCACACCCTGCATAGATTTTAGCATATGATTTTTAAATCATTTTGCTGCTACTACCCTAGTGGCATGGTTGGTGAATTATGAGGGGTATCAGTGGCAAAAGTCACTTGAGGATGGGAGAGGTAGTCAAACTTTGGCTGTAGTTATATTTATATAAGGTTACTCATAGAAGAATTTTCAGCTACGTCTCTTCTTGATGAGAATATATATATTCTTGTATCTTTCGTTCCTCTTTTGGATAAATATAATGGAGAAGTAATGCCGCATGCATTAGTAAGTTTGGAGTGATGAAAAGATCGTATAAACCTAATTTGGCGGCTTCTTGATTTCTTTTTAAGTAGCCTTATTTGTATGGTAGTAATGATTATGTTGATTATAACTAAATTAAAACGCAGGGTAATGAATAGGTTAAAACGGGTGTACTAGCCGGCCCACTCTTGTCGAATTCGTTTTCATGGAAAAACTATTTTAAAGAAGATCTCAAATATGTTTATTGCAACAAATCTGAATTTCGTGTTGCCTTCATTCCCTAACTAACATAATGCACATATTTAATATACTGCGTGTATTAAATATAACTGAGTCGTGCCATGAGATGCCAAAACTAAAGACAAACCAGAACTCTTACTACAAAGACATATTATTTTGGTCACTTTTATGTACCGTTCTTTCTCCGTTTCTATTCCCTCAGTTTTCTTCCCTAACGACTGCTTCTCTTATTCTTTGAAGATATCCACTTCTTGTAATAAGTAGAATAAGAATACTTTATGAGACTGTGTACGTACTTATTCTGGATTTTGTTCTCTTGTATAATTCAATCTCCACAATCATCAGTAGTTTTAGTTTGTCATAACCTTGAGATCATGCATGCTTCATTCAAGAGAAAGGATTATTTTTTTCGAAAATGTTAGGCCCAACACATTTAGAGAGAAAAAGTTAAGGAGCTTAATATTTATAAAAGAAAGGGGATATAATTTTTTAAAGAATTTTTAACTAAAGTAACTTTTAAAAATAAGTTGCATACTTTTAAGAATTTTGAGCTTATCCATGCGGAAGAAATTAGAATAAAACTTTTAGTTTTAAAAGGACTTTTAAGTTAAAATTGTTAAATATGTCTTACTTTATTTTTAAATCTCTTATTTTGAGCTTTAAGTTTAAAATAAACTTTAAGCCAAGAAAAGTTGGTTCAACATTTTGTAGGCAATAAATTTCATTAACGTTAACTCATCCATTCATTTGAGAGGTCATCATGAAGTATACAAACATTTATAATTTTAAAATTAATTGATATTTTGATTAACTTTATTTTAACGTGTAATATTTTTTTTAGTGTTTATAAAAAGAAACAAAAACTTTTCAGAATAAAATAAATAATAGCTATAAGATTACATGGGTGTAAATGTATATTTCATCTAAAATTTATCATGCATAATCATCAAAATATTAGATTTAATTATTGAATTTATAAATTTTGTATTTTATAGAAGTTACAAACTATATCAAAGAGATTTAGTAGAAAGGTATAAAATTGAGGACTTCTCGATATATATCATTATGATTGATAAGGACCGAAAAAATATATAAATATTATTGAAGGTATGATGATCATTAATAATTTTATCCTATAAGTCTAGAGAGAAATATGTATTTTTTGCATTTATTATAATATTTATTGTATTTATTTATCTAAAATCGATTACTAACTCAAATATTAAAATATCTTTTATAGTTACTATTCCTTTTTCCTTCTCAAACAGATATGATCCATGATTACAAATATCATTATCAAAAAGATAGTGTATTAATTGTAATCCTGTGAGTAAATGAAACCTAACACAAAAAAAGTTATGAAAGAAAATTAGGAAAATGAAGGATAAAGACTTTGAAATAATAAAATTACCTATATACTTTTGTGTAATTAAGTACACAAACTAAGAATGAAAACATGTTAATAACAAGCAACCCTCAAGCTAATGTATTTTTTTTTCTAAAGTAGCCCCTGCAATATCTCTTACAATAAACTCTTATAAACCGACACTGACAGCATAACTATCTTGGAAGAAGGAAAAAAACATTCAGTTTCTCTCTTCTTGATTTCTCTTTTTTCTTATAAATGTTCACTAACTCTAACAAAGGGAAATCTTAAAGTTTTTGAGCAAGGACACCCTCCTAGGATAGATTGTGCATAAGAGAAACATATATAATATAGCATTAGGCGAGACTAAATGATGGGTTGGGTTTATCTCGGTCTATAACTAGGGGTGGGCAAAACAAACTGAACTGAACTGAACTTATAAAAACTATACTGAACTTAAAAGTAGTTCATATAAACTGAACTAAACTAAATATTAGTTCAGACGAACTGAACTGAACTATTCTTTTGTGTCATTGAACTGAACTGAACTATACTATAAAAACTTGAACTGAACTGCAATTTAAACTGCACTAAACTGTTATGATATTTTGAATTGAACAATTTTGACTCATTGATCTATCAAAATAGGACACATTTGTCAACTTTACTTTATTTTCCATTTTATTTAAATTTTTCAAAGGAAAAAAATATAAAATTAAGTCAAACAAACTCAGTGAATTTTAAGCCTAAAAATAAGTAGTTCAACATAGCTCAATTGATCCGTTAAGTTCAACAAAATTGATATAATTTTTTTTCAAATCACTTTTTTTTCTAAAATTTTGGTTATTAGACTATCGAGCTAATCTATTAAGACATAACATGTTAAACATATTTAATTTTTATTCTTTTATAAAAATAATCCAATTTTTATAATTCAGTTCAGTTTTTATAGTTCAGTACAGTTCAACTGTACAACAGTTCAGTTCAGTTCAGTTTTTTTTAAACAGTTCAGTTCAGTTTTTTTTACAAACAGTTCAGTTTTTTATAGTACAGTTCACCACCAGTTCAGTTCAGTTCAGCTTAGTTTAATTTTTTTTGCCTACCCCTATCTATAACTAACCCAAAATTTTGATGAAGTCATTTATTTAGAGTTGAACATAATGATAACAAATCTTAAAAAGTGTATTATATTTTTTATTTAATTTATTTTTATACTATTATCTATTTTGAAAAAATATTGAAATTAAATCTTATATGTATTATTTTTATTTATTAATATTAACTTTTAGTTTTAACTAGTATTTTAACTTATATATTTCACTAATTAAATATTCATTTTTATATAATTATAATTAATAATGAAGAAATATTTTATGAATATAAAGGAGAAATGTTAGTAACACGCTCTTATATACTCCCTTTAATTGGTTGAAATTTATTAAAAGATACAAACTTTGATAGGTTTCACACTCTAATAAATTCTAACCAACAAAAATATATGTATTATAAAAAGAATGTATTAGCAAATGTATGATCAGTGGTATTTCTCTTGAAAAAATGTGCATAAATAAAGTTCCTTATATTTTTCTTTTAAGTCTCATTTTTTATAATTTGAGATCAAAAGGTTATTGTTCTGGCTTAAATAACATATATAGTTAATCTAGTCACTTGATCAAAGTTAAAACATTTAAAAGTATAATTTGTCTGTTTTTGTCCTAAGGTTAGAGCATTTATAATTGATTGCTCATGACTTGTGAGTTCATAGGCTCCGAAAGTTTCAAGATTTGATAAGATAATTTATGCATCATTTCTTGGCATATTATCTTAATCGTTAAAGATTAGATTTGATCTAGATTTTTTTGGATTGAAATAATAGATTGAGTAACTTTTACTTATTACATCTCAATAAACTCTTTTTGATTCATATTATATTTGGGATGATATACTTATTTATCAATCCTGAGCCTAAAAGGCGAAGGGATATGTTCATATCATCTCGATAGATCAATCGCAATAGATCCATTTTAATATATATCAAGAATGATATACTTGTTTACTAACCTCAAACTTAAAAGAGAAAGGAATTTATTTATAACATATTGATAAATTGATCTTAACAAATATATCTGAATTTATATTCAAGATGGTACAGGTATGTATAAAGTCAATTTTGGAATGAGTAGTGTATATCTTAAATTTACGGTCTTAGATCAACTTTATCATTATATATTAAACCTTTTTTTTTAAATATTTTTGGAGCTTCGATACATGAGAGATCCCTTAGTTTTTTTATCATTGCCAAATAACCTAAAAAAATCACTTTTAAATGCCCGGTTGCAACCGGGCCTCGACTATTTCCTGTTTCCGATTTTTTTTTTTTTTTACAAGGTTTCCGTATCAAATTTTAAACCGTGTTAATGGGGGTAATTTAATTAAGCCTTTAATTAAATCCCGTGTTGGGCACACAAGTTTGAGCTCAAGACACAAGACTCACAGGGCCTGTAAATCATTTGGGCTTCAGCTTAGTTACACGGTACACCAAATAAAGATATAGAAAATTTCGCATAGGTCAACAAAAAGAACGACACAATCTTTGCCAAAGTATAAA